AAAAAAAAAACAAATCTTAACAATTTTTAAACCACAAAGCAATATAGCATAGAAAAAAAAACGGAATTTGGAAAAAAAACTAAAACCGATAAGTCTTGTTAAGCAACCGCAAGCGCGTAGCGTGATCTAAAGACCACAAGCTTTCACCACGTATTAAATCAAGTTCACTATCTTCTCGTAAAGCACGAATCATTAGCAGCAACATCTGCGCATGCTCCGAATATCTTTGAGCTTCACCTTCGACAAATAATTTCACCTGAAAGTTAATAACACTTGTAAGTATAATAACCAGTTGGAGATGAAAAAGTAATATTCTAATAAACCTAATCTACAAATGACTTGAATAAATTATCAAACTAAATATGAAAATAAAGCAATTTCTAAAAAGAAAAAAAGGCCGCAACGTGTACAACAGAGCCATCTGCAAAGAAAAACGAACAAACATTCTGCAGTTCTTCAATGAAACTGTCCAAGGCTTCATCGCTTAACTTTCCAACTTCAAATAATGTGACAGCGTGATTTTTCAACGACTGGAAAAACAAGTCGAAATGAAAGGCAGGTTCCATATGACAAGAAATCTAGCCAAATCCCGCAAATCAAAAATGTGAAAACAGAAAAAAAGCAAACACAAAATGAACTTACTGCGGACAGGTTACCCATCATAAGAAAGGCAGTTAGTGTAGAGTCAAATAAGAAAGCAATTCGCTTTACGGTTTCCGTAGCAGAAAGCGGAGTGTTAATAGGAGGCGACTGAATGAAACGTTAAAAAATTAGATAGACTTATATGAAATGTTTATTTTTTTAGAAGAAATTTTTTTAAGTCAATTATATCACTAAAAAGTTATAAATCAAAAGTAATCCAAAAAGAATACAGTAATAAACGTACATAAGCTGAAAAGTAAAACAAAATGCATAAAACTTTACAGCAAGAGAAGCTGCCAAATTGTTAGAGCTAGATGATGTTTCAGCCGTCCCAAACTCACTATCATCTTCCTCATCGGCTCCACAAGGTGAGACTAACGAAGTTGATAGCTCACCCCACCCCGTAGAGATTGATGTTGTCATAGAAGTCTCAACCCCAAAAAATTAAGAATTCACTATAAACCCATGAAAAAATAATACTTCACAAATTAAACCAAATTAATGTGCTTAATAAAAATAGTAGACAAAATGTCGCCTAGCAAAAACTTAAAGCTTACTCAGGAAGGATCATGTGGCTTGCCCAGGTAACATGCAGTGCCAGGTTCTCCAAACCAGTCACTCGCTTTTTTGCAAAGCCCAAACGACAAAATACAGAAACAGCGTTTTTTACCAAGGCCAAATCAATATTTAGCATTTCAGACAGCTGAAACTTTGCTGAGCTGTTTGAAATTTTGTTGTGACTTAAATAAGCAAACAAACAAGTAAAACTCAATAATATTTTGTGTTTATAACTTTTTAACCTCTTTCACCGTCGTCTGCTCATCAATAGCAACAAAGATTTGGTATAGCAGGTTCTCAAAATAATCACCCAGCACTCGGTTCATGACAAAGCCATCTAGCGTCGGAACTAAAACCAAATCTTTTGAAGTATTTAATTCTTGTAAAACACAGTCTACAATGACATTATAACCGAAGACGATCTATCTCCAAAATAACTTTTATAAAAGCTGGAAAGCTACTGAAAAAAACCAAAACATTAAAAACTCTACCGAAAATGAAGTCGCCATCATAAACAGGTACATCAATGTAAGCAAGCCCTCTGTTGTACAAACTCTGAACTAAATTCACGTCAAGAGTTCCAGCAAGCTGAGGTCCTTCATCTATTAACATATCCAAAACATCTTTTTCGTCCTTCGATAACTGCTGAAAAAAATGTCTCCGATAATTAAGAATTTTAAGAAGAAAGTGACAATTTCAAACAACTGAATGCCACTAAAAACAGTGTTTTATTGCCGCACTTTAGTAGATTCAAATTTACAGAATCTTCTCATTCAGGTTTAAATTCAACTCCCAATTCACAGCTGTTGTCCTTGAATCTATAAAAATTGCAGTGTTTCTTAAAAGTGCTTATCCAACTCAAATCCCTTACCAGAAATGTCCCCAATAAACAGAAAATAAAATTTACTTTGGCATCTGATTCCAAAATGTTCCCTGAACATATTAACCACCACGGTTCTATCGGTATTTGTACAGGCTTTGATGGTAATAATTCGCGTATGGTTTTGTTTCGTCGAAAAAGCCTTTTGTTACATCTGTTCTGATTCATCAGTTCAATATATTGATTCCTTCCAATCCCAAGCAGCCGCATAGTATCAGCAGCAGTAAAGTTTGGCAAAGAGTCATAGCTTTTTTCTGCAGTCATCAAACCCTGGCAATTGTTACTTATTTCAGGAAACTGTCTGGAAACTTCTATGAATTCAATAACTAGCAGGCAAAACAAGGGGTTAAATTTACTATCCTATAAAAAGCTGTGCAAAATGTTCACCATTACGATGTTCATGTAATAATTGAAGGGTGTCATACGAAGGCCGCAAACAACAATGTCTTGTAAATGATAAGGATAAAGCATTAAATGAGTCTCGCTATATTTCAGCATAATATCATAATACTGCTCCTCGTTCCTCTTTACATGACGAACTGAAGAAAATAATGAGCATGGATTACAACAGTGAACAAGAAAACTCATGAAAAAAACAACGCAAAAAATAAAAAATAAATGATGAGAAATATCACCAAAGGCTTTGAAAACTACTAAAATGTTGCAGTAGATTTGAAACGAACCTATATTCCCCTTATATCTCAACTGATTTTTGATTGAATATTCCAACACAAGTTTGTCATATTCCCTTTGAGAACTTCCCAGTACAATCCGCACCTCTTCAGGAAGTTTAGACCATAACACATTTTGTCTTATGAACTGCTCGACATCTTCGCTAGACATCCAACCTCGTACACTAGTGCAGAATGCATATTAAAACGTATCATAAAAATTAAACGTAGTTCAGAGCCAACGGTTTCAAGATTAAAAACACAAACCAAGTTCCCCATCACTTGTCGACACAAAAACCAACTCTCATGCACTTCAGCTAACGAATTGGCAGAAAGTCATCCTCACTTAAAAAACCTTCTCGTTAAGTTTTAACTACTAGAAACGGTCTTTTAAAATTATACCCCATCATCAACTGAAGGCGAATTCACAAGGCAGTGAACACTCAGAAGGCGTAAAAACACACTGCACAGCTTCTCAGAAACGACATCTAATCTCATTCGACAAAAATACCAACTTGTCTACTAAACATCACGCATTATTGTCCAGTCTTTGACAAATTTTGTCGAGGTTTTTAACGAGGAACTTTACTGACCACTCGATAACGCGTCATGGAAAAATATTACTCACACACCTTCAAATAACTAAGAAATGACTTATTCTAAAGTACGGTACAACTGCTATAAAAAAGTTTCTCTTGTTTCGTATCCAACCGAGTTTAGTGCCGCTTCAGCAAACATTTCTCACTTTCAAATCCCCTCAAAAAATGATGAGATCTTTGCAATACGTCTTTACACTAAACTTTGTTCGAACTCTTTTCCAGTACAACTACAGTCAGTAAGAATAGCTATCTAAAACCAGACTCTGATGAAAAGAATTCTATATCTCAAAAACTGCAGCCGAAGTAAAGTAGAAAACACTTTTTCCTTTGTCATCCTCAGACCATATGCTGTTCTTAAACCCTAACTTTTCTGTTATATCTTTCTTCAGTTACATCAATAAACTATAAGAAAAAATCAAACCGAATAAATGAAAATAAGTTACACTCATTGTCAATCTGTTACACAAGTGAAGATCAGCCTCAAAAACGGTTAAAAATAAAATAGTGAGAAAGCATTTGTTTATGTTTTAAAAACATATATATGATATCAATATAAGACATACGGAACGTCCACTAAGTCAACAGCTTATTGTAATGGTACTCGTAAGTGCAAATAATAACATTTCTGGCCTAACACAAATAAAGCACGCAAACAACGTCTGGGGCATAGGAGGGCCATAAATGTCGAAAATTAACAGAATACAGCATGGAACAGACTGCTCTATAAGTACCACAAAATTGCATTTATTAAATACAGCTTTGGGAACAAAAATCCAATTAGCACAGTACTTCCATAAAAAGATTTAAAAACTAACAAAATTTGGTTCTTATAACCTGACATCTTGAAGATCCCTTCATATAAAAAATTAAGACTTTTAAGAAAAAGAATTAAGTGTCATCCATTTTGATTTGTCAGTAAATAATTTTGTCTTTGAAAGAAAAATAAATTTTTTAGCTTATAGTTCACAGTTTACCGCAGACGACAACGGTAAAAGCTGGTCAAAATGTCGCTATAAAAATAGTTTAGTTTAGAATAAACAAGAAGAAAACATTAAAATAAAACTGAATTTTCCAAGCACAACAAAGACCAAAATACCATGAAGCAATGTTTAAAAAACAGCCATATTTTACTGAACGCAAATCAGTAATCACCGAAAAACTGCTAATAACGAAGGAAAAATATTAATAACGACAAATATAAAAGAAAAAAGCGAAAAAAAAAAGCAGAGTAACAAAACAGGTACGGTTAGACTGGTTGAAATAACACCTAAGTGCAATCATGGAATGTACCATTGATGATTGCAGAATCATCAAAAAATGCCTTAAACATACAAACGTTTTGAATTCACAACTGTAGCTAAGATCCTCAAACTACGGTCGTTAAACAAACGATAAAATTGCGCCGACTTTATGAAGTTTTATATACCATCAAATACAAGTTGAATGATATCACCAAAAAAATGCATTCTTTTTTTCCGCCTAAAATTACAACTGAAAGATAAGAATAACGGAGGTGTCTGAAGAGAAAAAAGTGTTAGCTGTCTGTCATAACCA